CTGAAATTTTCCTTATATAGCAAAGTCTTTGGTCCCGGTTCGTGGCTCCAACCGAGACCAATGCACCCTTTAGTCCCGGTTGGTAGCACCAACCGGGACCAAAGGCCTCTTTTCAGCAGCCCAAAGGGCGGGAAGCAGAGAGCTTTGGTCCCGGTTGGTGCCACCAACCGGGACTAAACGGTGGGCATTGGTCCCGGTTGGAGCCACAAACCGGGACTAATGGCCGTATGCTGGCACGGTGCGGCACGAAAGTTTAGTCCCACCTCGCTAGCTGAGAGGGGCGCGCAGTGGTTTATAAGCCCCACTGTCGCTCCCCTCTCGAACTCCTCCCCACTGCAGGCTTACGGGCCTACTTACTACTGCTTTGCCTGATGGTCCTACTGGGCCACCTACGGGCCTGAATCCTGGCCCATGGTGGGTTTCTAGTCGTATCCAGGCCATGGGGGCCCAGTAGGAGGCATTTTTTTTCTTTACTTATTTATTTTATGCATCTGTTTTTTAGTCCCACCTCGCCAAGCGAGAGGCACTCGCAGCTGTTTATAAGCCCTGAGTGCAGAGACGATGAAGAAGAGGCTCAATGCTCACCTGCACGTTGGTTCGCTTCAAGCCTTGAGGAATAGGGTAGACTGCACGGAGTTATGTGCAGTGCATTTTACACTATTCTGAACGGCTTGAAGCGAATTAACTAGCATTGCGCCTTTTTTTATTTTTTTAATGATTTATTACCACACAGAAATAAATAGAAAAAAATAAATATAGCAAAAAAGAAAAAAAACTATATAAAAAACTACTCAGAAATAAATAGGCGGCCGAACTGCACCAGGTGGCCGAACTAGCCATGAAGGACTCGGTTTTCGGCTTTCTCTACTGAGGTGCTCGTCCGGCAGATCCGGGACACAATCGCAGTAGTTCTCCCTGCGCTACCTTAGCCGATATAAGTTCGGGGTGCCGAGCGACCGAGAAGGTGGTCGGACTTTATTGCCGTACTGTGAAGCCCCTGATCGGACCTTGGTAAACCCATCCGTTATACCGTTGGGTAGCGCGGACTCCTCGGTTGGTGTCCAGATAGTTGGCTGTCATATTGAAATTTTGATAGGCATGCGCGACTCGCTACTCCGGCAGCTGTATGATATCCGCCCTGAGGGCGGGGTTCGGCCTTGCCCATAGGTGTGATTGCATCATATGGTGTTGGCCTGAGTGATTTACCACGTGGTATCTAGTCAACGTGGTTCGTCCCATTAGCATACGGTAAATTACCGCATGGTGGGAAGGTGCCGAAAAAACTATATAAAAAACTACTTAGAAATAATAGAAGAAAAAATAGTTGTGATTAACTTTACTAAAATCTTTTTTATTTTTAATGACTTATTACAACTCAGAAATAAATAGAAAAAAAATAAATATAGCAGAAAAGAAAAAAACTATATAAAAAACTACTCAGAAATAAATAGAAGAAAAAATAGTTGTGATTAACTTTACTAAAAAATGAGCATAGATGCTTATTTTTAATGACTTATTACAACTCAGAAATAAAAAGAAAAAAATAAATATAGCAGAAAAGAAAAAAAACTATATAAAAAACTATTCAGAAATAAATAGAAGAAAAAATAGTTGTGATTAACTTTACTAAAAAATGAGCATAGATGCTTATTTTTAATGACTTATTACAATTCAGAAATAAATAGAAGAAAAAATAGTTGTGATTAACTTTACTAAAAAATGAGCATAGATGCTTATTTTTAATGACTTATTACAACTCAGAAATAAAAAGAAAAAAAATAAATATAGCAGAAAAGAAAAAAACTATATAAAAAACTACTCAGAAATGAGCATAGATGCGCTTATAGAGAAAATTCAACCTAAATTCATAATAAATTTCTACTAACTTCAGAGAAATTCAGTATGAATTTAGGTTAAATTCCCTGTATAAGGGCATCTATTTTCATTTTGAGAGGAGTTCAACATGGCAGAGAGGGAGGGGCTTATAAACCGGTCTGATTCCCCTTCGGTTGGCGAGGTGGGACTAAACTCTGGCCATAACGAGGACCAATCCTTTAGTCCCGGTTGGTGGCATGAACCGGGACTAATGGGCAGTCTTTGGTCCCGGTTCAAGCCACCAACCGGGTCCAATGGTGGTGGGCCAGGAGCGAGGGCCATTGGTCCCAGTTCGTCCCACCAACCGGGACCAATAGGTCCAGACGAACCGGGACCAATGGCCCACGTGGCCCGGCCGGCCACCGGGGCTCACGAACCGGGTCCAATGCCCTCATTGGTCCTGGTTCTGGATTGAACCGGGAGTAATGGGCTAGACCGGCCTGGACCATTGGCCCCTTTTCTACTAGTGTAGGCTGGGGGGTTAGGGTTTTACAGACGAGATGCGATCTCGACCGCGGCCTTCCTTGTCCTAGGGAGTAAGTTGGCACAAGGTCGGTTCCATCCTTGTTGGGCCCCTCCAGTGTCTGGCCCATTCCTTCGCCTGTTCCGACTCAGCTAGCCACCTCGAATCTTGGCCCCGTTAGCGGGCTCTCGGCCTTTTATATGGCCACAAGGCAGCCCACGTTAGGCTGCCGACACAGATAGAAACAGAGTGTCCGACACTCACCTTGCTCGGTGCCGCTAATGTGGGTCACCTGTCAGTTACCTTTTTTTGCCATGAGCTGCTCATTGCGCCTCGGCTTGTAGGTTTGCCAAGGCCCCGACAAAAGACACTCGGCTTACATCCGTATGCCGACTAGATGTAAGCCGAGTGCATTACGTCGAATGTCAACGTCACACTCGGCGTAGCTGTTACTCCCTCAGTTCGGAATTACTTGTCGTGAAAATGGATGCATCTAGACGTATTTTAGTTCTAGATACATCCATTTTCAAGACAAGTAATTCCGAATGGAGGGAGTACCTGGGTAGTTTGCACACTCAGCTTAATATGTTTTTTATGTAGTGCAAAGATCAGAGCCGCCCAATGCTGCAGAATTCGGTCACACATGCCCGGTCTCGTAAGTGAAGTCAGCTTCGCAGGGAGCGCTGGGAAATGGAACGGAAAGAGCTAGGGATCGTGTTAGGTAGTTAAAGAGGCCAAAAGGAGCACAATTAATGCACTAAATAATGTGAAGGCTGTGACGGGCAAAGCAGCCGGCCACGTTCTCTCGCCTACTAGATTCTATTCCCTGCGCGACCCACTACACTTACCATGCCATGAACCTGTCTATCTCCACATGTTTTAAAACATTCATTAATCCCCTTCGAGCGACTTCCTGATTTATACTCCTTCCGTCCGGAAATATTTGTCGGAAAAATGGATGTATTTTAATTTTAGATACATTTATTTTATGCATTTCTTCGACAAATATTTCCGAACGAAGGGAGTATTTGTTTAACACCAGGATTTACGTGTAATATAAAAACAAATATACGTATGTCCTTAAAGAAACATAACAACTACTCCCTCCGTTTTTAAATATTTGTCGTTTTAGAGATTTCAAATGGATTACTATATACAGATATATATAGACATATTTTAAAGTGTAGATTCATTCATTTTGCTTCGTATGTAGTCACTTGTTGAAATCTTTAGAAAAACAAATATTTAAGAACGGAGGGAGTATATCTTGTTTTGAAAAGATGGCCAAGTTTGAGCGGTCTATTCACGTTAATTATCTCACCGTTTTTGTTTCATGTACCTGTAATCTCTTATTTCTGCTGGTTTTATGTACTTGTACTTCATACATCTATTTCGGTACAAACATGCTTTTATGGAGAAGTCGACACATTTTTAAATTTACTGGATCAAAAATTTAATAAAATATATAAACAATCATCTCTGCCGCGTGCAATTCAAAAAGCACAGCACACTTATTTGTGTTATTTGACATATGACTCCCGCATAAAAGTATGAAGCTGCCACTATTCAACATGTAAATGACCAACGGGAGATTAGTTACATGTTTAACGGACAAATCAACGTGGGGATTAGGATTGGGAGCATCTCGCCAAAAAGAAAAAAAGAAAAGGATTATAGCTGTACAAGCCGGTCATCCACCTCACGTATATATACACCGTTGCCCTACCTTCTAACTGACAACTCCATTTTTTTTAGCATCAGTACAAACACAAGCGCTCATATACACGCGCATACACGCATCCCTATGAACACACACACGCACACCCTACCCCTATGAGCACCTCTGAGATTTATGAAGTTACCGTAGGCGCCTCGTCGTCGACGGGAACGTCTCCTCCCACTGAAAGCGCATCGCCGGAAATCCTAAAATAAATCCAGAAATAATGCGAGCACCAGGATTTGAACCCTGGTGAGTTGGGGATACCACTGTACACCTAACCAACTCAACCACAGGTTGATTCGCAACTGACAACTCCATTTGTCCCATATTAAATCGCTAAGCTCCCCTCCGCTCGATCATTAGTACTACTCAACAGAGGTAGATCGATGGGGCCGGCACCCTGCACCAATGGCCTCTTCATCGTCCTCCTCCTCGTGCTCGCCGCGGCCGACTTCGGGTCGGGGCAGCAGAACCCGCCTCTGCTAGGGGCGTACTACACGACGAAGTTCAGCCCATCCAGGGCCACCGTCATCATCGTCCTAATCGTCATCCTCATCGCCTTCTTCTTCTTGTTCTTCCTCTGCCTCTTCTTGGACTGCATCCACCACTGCTATGGGCCTATGGCCACAACTCCTACTCGGCCACTAGACTCCCGATAGGCGCCGCCGCAGCTCGCCCGCGACGGCATCAGCGCGGGCTCGACCCGGCCGTCCTTGAGACCTTCCCGACCATGGCGTACGCCGACGTGAAGGAGCACAAGGCCGTCAAGGGCGCGCTGGAGTGCGCCGTGTGCCTCAGCGAGTTCGACGACGACGAGACGCTCCGCCTCCTGCCCAAGTGCTCCCACGTCGAATGCAGATTCTGTGAGCTTATGCACCCGGGCCTCACTATCCTAACGCTCCATTGTTGCTTTGAGATCTGTGCTACACAACTACCTTATTACATGGAATTTTCTCTTTTTTGTTCCTCTCATATAAAACATGTCTTGAACTTCAAACTTTGCAGTACAACATAACTTTGTAACTAGAATGTGAGATAAAACTTTCAGATTTTTTTGTCCGACATAAATATGAAAAAAATAAGATTTTTTAATCAAATAAATCTTATTTTGTATATTTATGTTGGACCAAAAAATCTGTAAGTTTTATCCCACATTCTACATAGAAAGCTTTGTTGTGCTGCAAAGTTGAAAGTACAAAAACATGTTCTATATGAGAGAAACAAAAAAGAGAAAATTATTTGCACGAATCCTGATGCAGAAATGAGTGGTTGGATAAGGAGTACCCGGGTGCATAGGCTCTAAAACATGTTTTCGCTCCCACGTCTTCCACCCGGACTGCATCGACACCTGGCTAGCCTCCCACGTCACCTGCCCGGTCTGCCGCGCAAACCTCGTCCCCAACGACACCGACTTTCCGGCCACCGGCGATGAGCTGTCGAGCGTCCATCCCGCTTCGCAGCCGCCGCAAGAAGTGCCGCCGCCAGATTCTGCAACGGAGGCAGCACCCACCGTCGTCATCGACGTGGAGGAGAGCGAGGACGAGAGGATCATCCGGGAAGAGACGGACGAACTTGCGCGGATCGGCAGCCTGAAACGCGCTCTGCGCTCCAAGTCCAACCGAGCGCCCACGCACTTCTCGCGTTCGCACTCGACGGGGCACTCGCTCGCTGCGCCAGCCAGCATCTGCACCGGCGCCGGCATTGAGAGGTTCACGCTGCGGCTGCCCAAGCCGGAGCACGCGGACAGACTACGGCGCATGAAGAGCCTCGTCGCGTTCACTGCCGGCCGGCAGGGCAGCACGTACCGTTCCCTCCGACTATGCGGCGACGGCAGCAGCCGCAGCGGGACAAGCGTCCGGCTGGGACAGTCAGGCCGGTGGCCATCTTTCTTGTCGCGGACTTTCTCCGCGGCGTGGGGGGCGAGGTCCACCCGGAGTGCCGAGTTGGGCGGGTCGAGCAAGGGCGGGAAGCCGGCCGGCGCCGGCGGCAAGTCAGTGGAGTGCAAAGACCACTAGACCAGGCGTGCGCTGCTGACAACGTGTTTAATTTGACCGGGCCTTCCGTTGCGGTCAAATGGTGTGTCACTCCAGCGAGAACCAATGATTTTTCTTTTTTCCTTACTTTTTTCACTCAAATAACTGCTTTTCAAATTATCTCAGAAAATTTGGATTTTTTTCGTCTGAATTATTCAAACAAATTTTGAATTCAAATAAGTAATTTTGTTGCTTGAGCTTTAATTTAGGAGTTTCAACTTAACTAGCATATGTGCATTTGGGTTGTTGGCATATGTTGGCTACATACTGAATGCTTTTCCAGACGCGTTTAGCGGGTAAACGGCTGCCCATTAGCTTTCGGCGGCAGCCAGCCATTTTAGGAAGCTTGTTTGCCTTCCTAATTAGGAATGTTCTTTCACCTGGTCTCTCTTCTCAGGATGTTTTAAGGGCATCACTAGGGATCAGACTATTGAGTCCTAGCGCCTCAGCGACCAGTGTGCTAAGGACGTGACTCCAATATAGAGACTCACATCCTTGCTAAACACTCTTTAGGGCTTCCTCTAGGTCGCCGTGTGTGGTCCTAGATTTCTCGGCCCTGAATTGTATGCCCATATACTTGGCTTTTGACCAATAAAATGAAGTATGTTTAGTCTTAAAAAAGTCAAGCATAGGTTGAGCTAGCTCTCTAACTACTATTGCACACAAAATTCAAAAGATTATAGATTGAACTCGCTGCAAGAGCATTAATTAGTTAGAATCAGGGATACTGAGATAGCACAAAATGTTGTGAGATTCTGGAGTGTCCTTGAAAAAAAATGCTAAGTACATACAATATAGTTATATGATTCGATTCAACTCGTGAGCTACTCTGCTGTAAATGAATAGTTTATTTATTTGAAATATAGTAGGCTCGGTTCATTTAAGGACAGTATAACCGAGCCTAAACCGAGCTCTCTCAGCGATTTGGGTTTTTGGCCGTCGGATTTCGCGATCTGAACGTTTGTGGCCGTTTGATCTCCTGTGTATAGCCATCTCTTCCGAAACTGGGCCACCTGTCCTATGGCCTGCTGCTCCAGAGGCCAGAATGGTAGCCTCTGGTTAATCGGGTTTGTTTGGGCTAGAATCGGGTTGTCTGGCCCGTTTTCTGTAGTCATCTCCATCTCTCCAACAACCCACTTCTGTAACCGATCTGCTCATGTTCTGTGAAGAAGAAAACGCAGATCCTCGATAGGGAATGCATCGATCCATCCAAGGTGCGAGGGAAAGATGAAGATCCAGCCGCCGCGGGCGACACAGAGATCACTCGATCTAGCCGCCGCGGCGACGCGGGGATCGCTTGATCCAGCCAGCTGCCGTCCATGGGCAGGGTGGACGCACTCCCTCGACGCCGGCCTAGCTCACGGACCTAGGGCGAGCCCTAGGTGTCGCCACCATGCCCTCCTGCTCGCGACCCCTCGCGGAGCGGACGACCGCCCATCCGGTAACAAGCCCGTGTACACTTTGCTAGCTCGCAGGTATGTTCGGACCTCTCTCCCTTCCGGCTGCGCCACCGCTAGCTGTTGTGTGGAGATTTGTGATTTCTTTCTATGGGCTATCCCATCATTGGCCTGGTCTATTTTCACATGTTGAACTACATTGACTGAGAATAAGATCATTATTTTTATCCAGGGGTATACAGTTAAGACTTAAGAGTATTCAGACATTGTTTTGTTTCTTTGAGCAAATTGGTCATGTCAATCTAAATTGGTGTGTTTGTTTGACTAATGCAGGTGCCAAATTTTCTCAAGCATACTGGCTGGTCACCCGAGCCTAATTGAGAAATCAGTCAACTATTCATGGATCAGGCAAAAAAAATCATTGATAAATGTATTTGGTGTGCTTTAGTTTCTTTTTTAACAAGCTTTACAGGTCAGCTATTTGCTTTTTACATCTTCATAGATAACTAATGATACCTTGCAGGCTATTCAAATGATTTATATACCCAAAGTTTACACTATCAGTTAATTTAATTTAGGTAAAACAATTCCAAGTTCAACTGTTTGTTTTGGGAACTATATGCCAGGCGGCCGCTACCTTGTGTCGGTCGTGCCTCGCGCTACCCAGGCAAGTGCTTTTTTTTGATAACTTAGGCAAGTGCCTTCACCATGCCTCCTGCTCTTGAATCCTTGCGCCGGCCCTGCCGTATTCGCTGAATTCCTCCTAATTGGACGGGCTCTGGGCTGTGGCTAACTGCCTGTCTCCTTTTCCACCACACTGCAGAAACAATGCCTCCTCTGTGACGGTGACAAGGCAGTGGCAGCGGCCATACATCCGGCAACCAGGCCAGTGGTGCCTCCCCCCTCCCACTTTCCGGACAAGCTACAACAGGCGACAATCATTGTCTACTCCTCCCACACCTCTTCCTTGGCCAGCAGTCCAGCACCACCAGGTCGATCGCTCCCTCCACCTCAAGCTCTCACTATAAGACCCACTAGCTTGCACAAGCATTCACCGTACTGTATTCTTTTTGGAAATATAAGATGCTTCATGTTATTCTTGTGTGTTGAATTCTAATCATCTACTCTTGTAGTGCAACAGAAGAGGAGTGACATGTAGTGCTTTGCAATGGCATACTGATTTTTTCCCTATTCTTTTTCATGTACGTATATGGGTAGCCAATGATTTCTTCTCTTTGTCTGGTGTGCAGCGTGCAAGAGAAAAATCTCCTTTAACCATGTTCTGCTCTGATCATGTTCTGATTCTGTTCATCACCTGGCCAGGTGTGGAGTGAGAGGGGAGATTAGTTTGTATTTAGGCATAAGTTGCTTTTCTTTCATTTGATTTACTAATTTTCATAAATTGATGCTAATGTTCTACACCACTTTAATAAACTATCATGCATGCTGATGTTTAGAACAATAACATATTGCGGAGAAAGTTAAAAAGGAGCATCTCATATGAAATTGAGTAGTAAGTGGCATGACTTCACATTCAACTTATTGATGGTATTTATTCCTATGTTGGAGCTAACAACACATTGTGGCTTATGTACTGAACTTCTGGACCATTATATCTGAAGCAGCTCAATTAAATGATATTTTTGGAGACCATAAACTCACCCATTTGGAACTGCAAATTTCTCACTTTACTCTGTACTTATTTTTTTTGGAGACCATAAACTCACCCATTTGGAACTGCAAATTTCGCACTTTACTCTGTACTTATTTTTGCGGTTCAGTGGCTCGATAATAACTCTCAAAGCCACGATGTCCAGTACATAAACCATGCTCCATTTGCTACATTGTAGGGAGGACTTGCTGTATAACTAGCCCAACTGGCTTCTATCATACGATTGTCATCGGTCTTTTCCCACTTTCTACAGCCATCTAACATAACACCTAAGCAACTACTCTTTTGGATATTGAAGTCCTAAATTCCCCTGCATCTTAGATTGTACATATGGGCATCTGCCACAACGCCTACATTTACCATCAACTATTCTAATTAAAAGTATACACACTTGCGGCCAGCTCAAACCAAGTTTAATATCATGAAACATCCTCTCCCACTACATCACTACTTTACAACAACTCCCTGGACATTTAGCTTGCATGTTTTGTGCTGTCATATATTATTACGGCATTACTGTCACTCTATTGTAAAAATGGATGGCCGTGGCCAGGTATGCTATCATAATCTAGCAAAGTTCATCTTTGTCCAAACTAAATATGATAATCTCTCTAATGATGTTCGGTTGATTTTGTTTTTAATGATGCGTGAGCAAGCATCACTCATATTGACCAGACATCTTAATTTTCTCGTTCTCATGTACATGTTTTCTGTAATGATGCTTAAATGATGCAAGAGAAGTCACACTCGTCTTGACCATCCAGGTAGCTCCATTTTCTTCAGTCTTATTCTTATTTTTACTCATGTGTTGTTTGCAGTCACGCATATGTTACATATATAACCAAATGAAATTGGCATGCATGATCTCCATATTTTCTTCTAATGCAATGATATGTAGTTTATTTGTTGTATTCTGCCCATATTAACTTCTGTGTACTTTGCAGGTTGTGCTTAAAAATCTAAAACAGAGATGGAACAAAAACAAATGTAGGATAACATCCATTTTGAACCAATGTTTGTACTACAGTGCCATTTCGAAAACTATGGTTCTTGAAAGATGAGAATGGGTGCGGTCATTTGTTCTGTATTGTATAATGTCCTTACAATTTTTTAGCCAATGAAATTTACTAAATATGGATTCTTTATAGATGCTATGTTTGCTAGCATATTATCAGTGATTCCAGCGATTCCTGTTTGACAACAAGTTATTATTGCTTTGTTCGGCTTCCATTGATTGTCACCTTTAAGAAATCAAGAAATATAGTCTTTTAGATCAAAAAAGAAAGAAACATAGCCCTCCTTAGTTTCAAGCTGCGATAAATGCCATATGATAATTAATACCGTTTTGCGAAATGAAATAACTATTCACTTCAAACTTATTTTTACGTCATCTAACATATTTCTATACAATATTCACTACATTGTCAGATTATGAATGTTGACATCCCTAATATGTCAGCTAATCTATTAGTAATCATGCATCCAGTTCCATTGTTTCGTAGTATGTCTAATATTTATGTAAACTTCTACCATTCTATTGTCAAAATTGATGGGCGCAGCAACGCGCGCCATTCACGATCTAGTGAATATGAGACATGGGCGCTCTTACTAAGGGACGTTGCAACCGTGTAAATGAGCAATTTGTTATCCTGTTCTAGAAGCTGTAAGCCTCTCTGAACTTTTGGTGAGTGTTTTTTACTCTGAACTTGTCGTGAGCTGGTGTGATGTCCCCAGCGAGACGCGGCGGTGCATTATTTTTAAATACAAGTTTGAACAACAACAACAACAACAACAAAGCCTTTAGTCCCAAACAAGTTGGGGTAGGTTAGAGGTGAAACCCATAAGATCTCGCAACCAACTCATGGCTCTGGCACATGAATAGCAAGCTTCCACGCACCCCTGTCCATAGCTAG